TCAAAGCATGCAACTCCTCATGTTGGATTCCGTAGATATCTCAGGTCTTAGGATCCAATCATGGAACTGTCATATGAGATTCAAGTCATGACGCTAGTCCATGTGACAATCTCATGCGGGTCAGTCCAGTATTCCGTTCTGCAACGAATACCTATGATTGTGATCGTATCCAATACCTATGATCATCTATGTGATCATCAATCACACATCATACTAGTCTTATTATGTCGTTATTCCCATAACGACACAAGACTAGGGAGTTTAGTATCATTCATAATGATACATGAATTTCATAACAGATCTAGCATGCAAGAACATGTAATGAATAAAATACTCTCATAAAAACACATAGAAAGTATCAATACATCGAATGTATCTGAACAAAGCTCATAATCAGTACATCATAGAGCACTAAACCAACACTACCATTACTACCTGCATGTCAATGGGCCTATTGAGGAGGGACACTCGCCAGATGGCAGATATCTTAGGCTTGCCCTTTGGGGATACCTATGAGTTCCCACACGTACGTTCAGAGGTTCTCTAGAAATTTTGGGAGGAAATTGCCGGTGAGGAGTACGAATAGAACCTTCCTGCACACCTCATCAGGCATCCTACACTGAGATTCTTACACTTCTTCTTATCGAGCTGTATGTTTGCTAGGAGAGAAACTGATTTGGTACGAGTGGAGAAGTGCTGCTGCTTAGGTATGCCTTGCGAGAACTCTATCTTGGGGATGATTGGGGGGTTGGAAAGGTAGACTTAACTTCTCGGATTATGGTTCACCTCGATGCTGTTATGCAAAGGCCCTGGACTACTCCCATATGCGTAGAAGGTATTACCACGATGATCGCTAGACGAGTCAGCGTGAATGTGGGATACTATTCAGCCAACAAGATACAAGGACCCAGAGAGATGAACGAATCGTTCCTCATGGAACTTCTATATGGTCGCATAGCTCCGAATACGCCCGTGATGATATGGATGTACTACCTGCGAGGGCCGAGTTCCAGGGAGCACGAGATCAAGATCACTGACCCCAGAATCCAGCCCATCTCCAGGTTAGGGATCAGATTTAACATCATTGGCCATGATCCTTTTGCTTCACCCATGGTAGAGACATTCCCAGATGACGAAAGTCTACTCAGCGAACATGAGGATAATGAAGAAATGTGGGAGCTTCCAGACGCACCATTGATTCGTCAGAACTTAGAGAGATGTCTCGAGGGACAACAATACATGGTGACAGTTCTCCATCGTCTGATCTTCCTGCAAGGGAAATCAATACATGGTGACAGTTCTCGATTCCGCTCCTTCTCCGTGCCCCGTGCGCAAATTTCCTCGTTTGATCTTCCTGCAAGGGAAATGGAGGAAAGAATCCTACCCATGACCGTCTAACGTCCTATTATGCCTAAGATGTAAGAAAAATCAAAGTGTGTGACGTTGGAAAACCGGTGAAAAACCCGTGTGATCATCAGTCAAATGTCATCTGTAACAGGATAACTATAACGACTGTGCTCGGGTACGTTATGAGATATGTGGAGGATAGTAGATAGTCGGAAGGGATTTTGACCCTCTCGTTGCGAGAGAGATATCGCGGGGTTCCCTCGAGTGAGATAAACTGTGAAATACGTGGCCACGCTTAGACGAATGTCATCTATTATGTTCAGTTATCTCGTGGATGAGAAAGCAGTCGAACCTGATAAGGTGGCTATTCTCCATGCCTTATGTTCGACACAAGATACTGTATGTCAAAAAGATCGTAGTAAGAACTATTATTACTCTATTAGTTTACCACTAACTCTATCAATGTGAGGGTTGTAGTGTCTTGCTAGAGACCACCTACCATCAGTGAGTCGAAATGGTGTTTCGAGTTCGCGACTACATTGAATAAGCCTACAAGGTCACACACGAAGGTTGGAACATGAAGAATGACAAAAACGAAGTCTGAAACAAAATGGTTGTTAAACTCAGTCGAGTAAGTGTAACTCGTCCAAATTTGGTCGAAGTCGGTTGAATTAATGTAATTTAACCGAAACATAAAACGGTGTGGGAATTCAGTCGAATTAGTGTAATTTGGTCGAACGGTGAATAGTGACTATGAATAGTGTCTATGCATAGTAACGTAAATAATAACCGTGAATAGTGTCAGTGAATAGTAACCAAGCAAAAATCACGCATCGAAAATTCTATCCATTTTCAAGGGTTTTGAACTATATATATGGGGAGCTTGGCCAAAGATTTCAACACATCAAGTCGTAAGTCCTATAGGGGATCTAGAGAGCTTTAAGAAGTCTAAATGACCATATGCTCTCAGGAACCTCTCCAGACTATCGGCTGATTTTAGGCCCTAGCAAGCCAGATCCAATTGTTGGATCCAATCCATGGTGTGGATACCGTAGAGGTTGTTGTTCTTTGTGACGACTCTTGATACGTGTGTACCGAGTCTAGAATTTATACCCGGTTCACAACTCACCGCAAGGATACGGATCATCGTAACACGGGGTCGAACGCAAGGACCGGTAGGTAAATCTAAACCCTAATCAAAACTAAATCAAAGCAAGTAGAAGTGGAAGTGATGATGAAAATATGTGGAAAGAATGGAGAAGAAGGAAATAATGCAATAAAAACGAGTATACTATCAAGCAACGGTGACCATTGGTGTCGAGATCGTATTCGAGTGTATGGGTATATGCTAAGCATGCGAGAATCACGATTATGATTTGTATTCGGGAATCATCAAGAAACAAAGATAGAGAATTCACCTCTCGGTCTACTAACTCACTACCTATAGAGTAACTCGTCAATCTCTCGATCTATTCAAGTTAACCCTAGATGGATGAAGAACGCTATCATCAACCCTAGATCGATTAAACCATATCTCTATGTGAATAATACGATCTATCCTATTGATTTTGATCCGAGCCAATCCTCACTCTATATCGCCCACATCGTTATCCAGCCAAATCTTCGAGAGGAAAAACCTTATGCAAGTGTATGCATGCATTCCTAAGTCTATATGCACATATGCAACCTACAAGTCATGCGAGTATGTACATGATGCAAATGCAGGGTTTTTTTTATAAAGAATATGGAATGCATGATTTCTAAGTGCAAATGATGCATAATGTGTAGAGTCCATGGGTACGATGTACGTTAGTGTCACTCCCCCCCAGACTTGAATCAAACACCGTCCACGGTGTTGACTCTCGTCTAGTGGAGAGAATTCAAAGAGAAATAAGGAATGGATGGAATGAAAGGGGTGGTTGTGTTACCTTGTCCGATGAGGTGGAATCGCATTCCAATTTCTCTGTTGCGTGTGTCGTAAGCCCATGAAACCTATACAATGTGAGAAAACTACAATGCTATGCTATGTTAGCCGAAATGAATGCAGGGGGTGAGGGTTAAGAGTGAGGACTGAGCGTGCCTTTAGCAGCACCCGTCGGATGAGGACTCTTGTCCGGAGTCTGTGCCGAGGTCCGATGAGACTTCAAAACGGATTCCTTCTTCGGTCAGAGGAGGTAGCACGAAATAGGCCATGTCGAATGATCGATACCTACTCTCGACGTCCACGAACCTCCATAATATGTCCCCGTTTTGTTCTTTGACAAAATTGTTCTCCAAAATATGCATATAGTTGATCGACCTGGATGCCCTGGGCCGATACCACATGTCCCAGGAATCCGATATCCTGTAGCCAGAAGCTGCACTTACTGAACTTCGCATACAACCGGTTCTCTCTCAGCCTCCACAGTATCTTCCGCAGGTGTTCCTCATGTGTCTGCGGATCCGGAGAATAGATAAGGAGGTCATCGATGAAAATGATGACGAACTCATCCAAATAGTCCATGAACACATGGTTCATCAGTTGCATGAACACTGCAGGCGCGTTCGTGAGTCCGAAAGGCATGACCACGAACTCGAAGTGTCCATATCTCGTCCGAAACGCCATCTTCTGTATGTCATCCTCCTTGACCCGAATCTGATGATATCCGGATCGTAGATCGATCTTCGAAAACCATTGGGCTCCCTGTAGCTGGTCAAGCAACTCATCAATCCTCGGTAGTGGGTACCGATTCTTGATAGTCACTTAGTTGAGCCCTCGGTAATCGATGCACAATCGCATACTCCCGTCCTTCTTCTTCACGAAGAGTACCGGTGCTCCCCACGGTGAGACGCTAGGGCGAATGAGACCCTGCTCCACCAACTCGTTCAGCTGTTTCTTCAGCTCGGCCATCTCCGTAGGTGCCATCTGATACGGAGCCTTGGAAATTGGCTCAGTACCCGGTAGCACATCTATGCTGAAGTCAGCTTCCCGACTGGGTGGTAGTCCCGGAAGATCCTCAGGAAACACATCCGGAAATTCCCGGGCAACGGGCGTATCCTCCAGTCTCATCTCCGATTCCTGAGTAGTTGTAATAACTACCAGGAATGCTTCGTTGCCCTTCCTGATCATCTTCTCGGCTTTCAGTGCCGAGATGATCGGGTCCACTACCGGCGCTCCTCGGCCTCGGAATTCGAACCCTCCAAATTCATCCGTAAACCAGATTGTCCTCTTAGGGCAATCAATGTAGGCTTGGTACTTCATCAACCAATCCATGCCCAGAATGATGTCGAAACCTCCGATGGGTACCACAATGAGATCTGCGGCTAAAAGGCGACCGCAAACCTCAAGGGGTATGCCTCTCAGGATCCCGTGCACTGCTAATGTCTCTCCGGTTGGTATGCGCACAGTGAAATCGCTCATCGACTCGATCTCTCCAGTCTCAAGCCTCTCCGCCACTCCCACACTCAGGAAACTATTGGTCGCACCGGTATCAAACAACGTATAACAGGCAACTCCACAGAGATATAGGGTACCTGAGATCGCGGCAGCCTCGACTCCATCAGGGTGAGCCTCCTCCTCCTCTTCCTCCTGGATCTCCTGCTCGGCATCAAGAGCATACACTCTCGGTGCGGCTTCAGTCCTCACTGGTGGTCGGGGTGGTCTGCTCGCCTGGCCTGGTGGTCGTGGGGCTCCCGGCGCTGGAGCAGGTGGTCCAGTAGTCCTCATCGGACAACGTGAGGCAATGTGCCGAGGCTGGTCGCAACGGAAACAGACCACTGGTCCCCTTACCGCTAGTGGTGGTGGCGCACGAACAGCGGACGCCTTGCCCTTGTTGCGCGGGTCGTTGCTCCGGGCGTTCTTCCCAGATGAACCCGTACCGAAGTATCAACTAGCGGGGCTCCGCTCACGGATCTTCCCCTCCTTCTTCTCCTGCTCTCCACGTTCCACCTTCTCCAGGTGGGAAATATACCGACTCAGCGTCGGGTACTCCTGGATCTCGATCTTCCTCCGCAGGTAGGGTCGGAGTCCAGCAATGAACTTCTGGATCTTCGACGCCTCGGTGGGCACCAGTTGCCCTCCATACCTCAGTAGGCGGGTGAACTCCGCCTCGTACCCGCTGACAGTCATGTCTCCTTGCTGCAACATGAGGAACTCTGCCACCCGGTACTCACGGTCCTGTTGCCGGAAGTACTTCGCTTCGAATTCCTGTCGGAACTCCTCCCAGGTAAAGCGATGTCCCGCTGGTGCCTCCTGCACCACCTTCGCCCACCAATGTCGGGCCTGGCCCGACAGATGATGGCTCGCCATCAATAGCCCGATACTGGTACGGGCACTGCAGATACTTCAAGTCCTGAGAGATCTAGGTGAGCCACTCCTCCGCAGCTTCCGGTCTCACCGACCCCTCGAATCGCGGGGTGTGCATTGCCCGCAGCTCCTTGATGATAGGGAGGTATCCTGCCATCGCAGCAGGCATCGGCGGCTGGTGTGGTTCCTCCTCCCTCCGCTCCGGGTCTCTCGCCGGGGGTGGTGGTGGGGCGTGAGCAGCTAGGTGCTGCCACACGGTCTCCTGGAATTGACGAAACTCAGCCCTCCACCCTTCGTCTCCTGGGTTAGGCGGTGGAGCCTGTTCGGGAACGTCGTCAGCCCTAGCTGCAAGCATAGCACGTCGTGGCGCCATTTCACTGCACCATATTTAAGACAGTTTCAGCAACTGACGACCGATACTGCATCATCGATGTACGGACCCCGATAGGTGAAGATTTTCTTCGAACATGGTTTGAAAACATTTTTCGTAGAAAACCGTTGGGTAATGAGCATGATTCCTTCCCAAGGAAAGAACGTGGCTCTGATACCAAAAGTTGTGACACCCGTAACCCGTGTACAGTATACGGGCTGTGCCACATGGACGATATAAAATAAAATAATAAAAATTAATAATAAAGTAATAAAACGCGGAAGCAAAATTTACGAAAATCCAAAAACATTTTAGATCGAATCAGAGTAGCAGCAGAAAATACAAAGCGATTAGTATTGCAAAATGTCACACGTCCGAATAGTCATAATACAACCGTACAAAAGTTGAAACAACAAGTCCTTTGGTTCAGAATACAAATCCCGTACATGATGCTGCTTCTCTCGGGTCGTCGCCTGCTGAGGCGCTAGGCGTAATCCTCGTGATCTGAAAAATATAAACCACGAGGGCTAAGCACAACTGCTTAGTGAGTAGCCCGAGTTGAACCCGGGAATCCCGTTCTCAATGAGAACGGTACAGTCGATATTTCCACAGAACACATGCAATAAACGAAAACGCAGTAAACACAAATAAGACAAGCACAATCACGCCCGTATGGAGTCCACAATAGGGCTTAGCCGTATACCCTAGTCAAGTCCATGACTAGGGGCGCCTCCACGCCCGTCACTCGCGTGACGTTGGCCATCGCATCACATGTGATCTTGCGCGTCTCCTGCGCATGTCACTCTCATGACTACCGATGTCAAATCCATGACACAACGGAATGTAAACATACCCGTATAGAGTCCACCATAGGGTCCAGCCATATACCCTAGTCAAGTCCATGACTAGGGGCGAGTCCACGCCCGTCAAGTCCATGACGTTGGCCGTCGTGTCGCACACGACAAAAATGCGTCTCAAACGCACATCAAGTCCATGACGTTGATGGTTGAGTCCACAACCATCCACAAACACAATCACGCTTAACTCGTACACACGAGCAAGCTACACACATGGCACACAACGTGCAATATTCCCATAGTACAATCATACGTATCACGGTATTCGGTCCCTACCGGGTTACCGTTCTACGCCATGCAATTCTACCCACAAACAATCACACATCGATCACTCATAATTTGATGTCGCACATCTACCTACGCCATGCAACGTCCTGGCGAAAACTCGGTTCGATCGATCTCAATCGCGACGCTTTGTCCTCTGGTGGGGGTTGGTTCATCCGTCGTCGAGTCTGGTAAGGCCCGGGCCAACCCCGTTGGTCGTCTTCTCTTTCCCGGTTAAAAAATTAAATTTTTCTCCAACTTTTCTGAGCCTGGTCCGGCGGACCAGATTCTGGTCAGTCAGACCAGTTCTCCTTCTCCCCCTGGTCCGCTCCGTCTGGGTCAGTCGATCCGAGAGAGGGAAACACGCCTGGTCCGGCGGACCAGAATTGATCAGTCCCGGACCAGCCTGCTTTTCCTCTCTCTCGGTCCGGTTCTTGGTCAGGCGGAGTCTGTCCCATCGGAACACGTCTGGTCCGGCGGACCAGAACTGGTCAGCCCCGGACCAGGCGTGTTTTTTCTCCGGTCCGCCTCCTTTCTTCTGGTCCGGTGGTGCTCGTGTCCTCGGAACACGTCTGGTCCGGCGGACGAGGTTCTGGTCCGGCGTACCAGGCGTGCTCTTCTCTCGGTCAGCCCTCTCTTCCCTGGCTTGGCGGACCGCACGTGTTTTCCAGTCCTGATCCGGAGCTGACCACGCGTGGTCCGGCGGACCGGGACTGGAACCTTCTTCTTCCTCGCAATTTTCTCCGATTTTGATTCGATTTTTCTCACCCTAATCAATTCGGGGTTGCTTCTAAATGCCAATTAAACATAGATTTACATCCCTACACATGTTCTAAGCCTCAAACACGCAAGAAAATCTCGAATTGGACCATCACATTGAAAACGAGATCCCAAAAATTCAACTCAAGCCACTCACATGTTCTTGAGCTTATCCGAGCTCGTGTGCGTTCTCTGGCTCTCCTCACACCGTGAATACCTTCGGGGCACGTCTAGGAACGCCTCCCCTTGCTTCCCCGAGCTCCTCTTGCCCAGGTTTGCCTCAATTTCTCTCCCTTTTTCTCTCTTTTTCTTCTCCCCTCTTTCAGCTCGCCATGGCAAAGTCTGGAGGTTGGGAGGGGTTTATGTCACGGGAGAGAGGTCTCACAGGCTGAAATCGAGGCCCAGGGGCGAGCCTGCAACGTCCTCCAGGCGAGAACTCGCGTCCCGAAACTCGTCACGAGCAAGCTGCAAAACTGTCGGGTTCCGGTCCGCCGGACCAACTCCTGGTCCGCCGGACCGGAATCTTATATGTTTTTTTTCGAATTTTTCTTTCCAGTCCGCGCAGTCCGGTCCGAGTCCGGCTGAGTGGTTGGTCCGCCGCTGACCACTCCTGGTCCGGCGGACCAACCCCTTTTTTTTCTCTTTCTTTTTTTTTCATTCCTTCTCGATCCTTCCCGCGCGTGACGATCCTCGTACCTCTCCTCGGCGTTGTACTATTTATTTTTGATGATTTCGTGACATCCCTATTTAATTATTTATATTTAAATAATTAAATATTCAATTCGGGTTTCGGGGTATTACATAATCAAAGTACGCAACTCCTCATGTTGGATTCCGTAGATATCTCAGTTCTTAGGATCCAATCATGGAACCGTCATATGAGATTCAAGTCATGACGCTAGTCCATGTGACAATCTCATGCGGTTCAATCCAGTATTTCGTTCTCCAACGAATACCTATGGTTGTGATCGTATCCAATAGCTATGATCATCTATATGATCATCAATCACATATCATACTAGTCTTAGTATATCATTATTCCCATAATGACATATGACTAGGGAGTTTAGTATTGTTCATAACAATACATGGATATCATAACATATCAAGTATGCAAAATATGTAATGATTAAAACACTCATCCATAAACCATAGAAAGTGTCAATACATCAAATGTATCTAAATAAAGCTCGCATAACAGTACATCATAGAGCACTAAACCAACAATCTCCCACTTTCTCTAATCATGGACTGCTAAACATCTAATGCCCATATCCCTAACATGACCCTCATGCTTTGACGAAGGGAGAGGCTTCGTCAACGGATCGACAATGTTGTCATCTGTCGACACTCTGCAAATGTGCACGTCTCCTCTGTGTATGATCTCCCTGATAAGGTGAAATCGTCTGAGTATGTGTTTGGATCGTTGATGGGATCTGGATTCTTTCGCTTGTGCGATCGCTCCATTGTTGTCACAATACAGAGCAATGGGGCTATCAGCACTAGGAATGACACCCAAGTCTCCAACAAACTTCCTGATCCAAACAGCTTCCTTTGTTGCGTCCGACGCTGCAATATACTCAGCTTCTGTAGTAGACTGCGATGTGTAGACATCTGGGTCTGACTGGAAACTAGCATCAGTATAATCCCTTACAGCGAGCTCGTCTTCCGACCCACCGTACACCAAGAACACTGTTGGTTATAATGCTCTACGATGATCCGTGATCTGATATTTTGACTATGTATTGATTCATTGGTTTATGAATGCATTACTTTTCCCGTTATATGATTAGCATGTTTGTTATATTACGGTGAATATCCTTGAATCATTGCAGATGATTCTAAACTCCCTGGTCAGTTATCATTGTGGGAACAATGATGAATTAAGACCAACATGATGTGTGATAGATAATTATGATCATATGCATTGGATGCAAATCACAATCATGGGTTCTCGTTTGGAACGAGTTACTGGATGACCCGCATGAGATTGTCACATGGACATGAGTCATGACTTGAATCTCATACAGTGGTTCGTTCTTGGATCCTCAGACCTGAGATGTCTAGAGTATCTGATATGAGGAGTGACGTGTCTTGACTGCGTCAAACGTCGTCTTTAACCGGATGATCATAACGGCGTTGCTCAGATACGTTCACGAATCATATGCAGATAGTAGACATGCAATACGGGACTTGTCACCTCCTACGCAGGAGAGATGTCGCTGGGCCCCTCGTGGAAATCGGACTGTAAAAATGCGTGGCCACGCTATAGATGAATGTACATCTAATTTATCAGACGGTTTGCCTAGACGAGTAAGCGGTTGAACTTGAAGGGTGGCTCATACCATGCCCTTGTTCAACATACGACATCGTGAGACAAAGGATCAGAACTCGAACTATTGCTGGCTTTGTTAGATCACCTCTAACTCTATTCTAGGTGGGTAGTCATGGCGTCTTGCTAGAGGCTAACCATGACTTGTGGTTCGGGAAAGGTTTCCGAAGCCACTGCCGCTTCGAATGGGCCAACAGGGTCACACACCATTAGGGATGGATCACACGTGAAGAGAACGACGCGAGAAAGGAACCACAGAACGAGCTGGAAGGGTTCCAGACGGCCAGACCATCCGTTCCAGGCCTGGAACGGACGGTCCAACCATGATGGTCCAGGTCTGGAACGGACGGTCCAGGCGTTCAGACCGTCCGTTCTACGTTATATAACGGACACCTGGAAGATCGTAGAAAGTTAGAATGTC